ATACGGGGGATTTCGGGGGCGATAAATCGATCTAGCTACGATTTATTTCAGAAAATGTTGTTTTATTCGTGTTTTCAATAATCAATTTTATCGATAATCAACTTAAGCATAAACTTTTTTTTATTGAAAGAAATATAAGATATAAGAATATAAAATACGTTTCATCAAATAAACATCTCGGTGAAGGTCGTTTTATATCGGGATCTTAGACTATAGACTATAGACTAAAGTAAATTTTCTCATTGACACGTCAATGTCAGCATTAATTCCTAGGTCGTTACCTCGATCAAAGCGCCTCATGTTCAGGCCTCGTTAGCTGTTACGCAAGCTTACTTAATAGTGACGCAACATAAAAATATATAACAAAAACTCCTAAGCGTGAAGAAGTCAGCAGCATCAGAAAAAATAAATAAATACTAGATATTGGCGTCGTCGCGTCGCGTATCTTGGATTCACTGTGATTTGTCAGCTGTCACCGGCAACAACTCGTGCGGAGCCGATTAACCGATTATATGAAAAATAACGTTACATGAATTTTATACTGTTACACGCTGGGGTTCGGGATAAATAAATGTTCCACCAAAGTACAACTAAAAACTGTATTCAACACTTAGAACACTTAAAACACTCAACAAACACTTTAAAACTCTCAATTCGCTTCTTCCGCTTCGCTTCAGGTGGTCCGTTCGTTGTTTCGCTTCGAGTAGTTCCGATTATTAACTGACTGCGTGCCATCTCTGCAACGCTTTTACAGCCGATACCACATCCTAGAATTATCGAGAATATTCCACACATTTCGAGTATTGTGTTTCCGCTATCTGACAATAGATAGCGTTGTACTTCTCGAGCGTTTTAGATGCTATTAGATCCTTCGATATTCGTTCGACTATTCGGCGATAGATGGCGTTACTCTTACTGGCGTAACAATACATACATACGTATATGAATGTGTACATGTACATAGGCTCGAAGATAAAACGGTACTTCTGTAAACGCGAAGGGCAAGGTTGGTCGGCATCGCGACGAAAAATTAAACGCGCAACAGCATGGCATTCTTCTTCTTCTTCTTCATTTCTAAAAATGTTTTAGTGACGTAACTCGACATCATCTAATGCTTGTTTCTTTATAGAAAATCTGAGCTTAACAGGCTGGAAACAACGCATGTAAGCAAAGACCAAATCGCGTAGATAACGTTCTCAGAAAAACCTAATTTATGTACATACATTCTCAGTCTAGAATCGGTCGTGTGTTCTGTATCGAGCCGCCGTTCTCGCATAAAGCGCAAAGTTAAAGCGCGTACCGATCTAGCGCATTATATATTCACAGCGTGTACGAAAATATTTGAATAATAGAATAGGGAAACAGTCAATAAATTTTCCACGAAAAAAATAAACCGATAAATTGTACAAATGTCTCCGATAATTTCGTCTCTGTGTGCGTGATTGTGCGCGCGTGTGTGTGTGTGTGTGTGTGTGTGTGTGTGTGTGTGTGTGTGTGTGTGTGTGTGTGTGTGTGTGTGTGTGTGTGTGTGTGTGTGTGTGTGTGTGTGTGTGTGTGTGTGTGTGTGTGTGTGTGTGTGTGTGTTTCTTTCATAGATACTAGATGGGAGCCTGAGCTCACGACCTGTTGTTAGGTTGCTCGAGCTCATGGACATCACAACGTGACGCCGCCGCCTTCCTCGAGACATAATCGACTTTAGATTTAATTATATTGCGATAAGTATTTTCCGTTCCATCCTTCGAACGAGAACCCTTGACTATTTCGAGCTATGCTGTTATCGTCCGGCCTATTTCAGTATAAACAGTCTTACAGTCCGGGTTCACGATACATTCATTTATTATGTTTTATACATCAATGCCTTATCGTAGATGTGCGTTTATAAATTGGTTTTAAAAACACATTAACGTATAAAAAACGTGCGGTGTTTGTCCAAAGGAGCATCCAGATGTACAGTTCAAGTTAAAAAGTTCTTTACTTTTAATTCGATTGATTTTTAGCGAACGAGTCTACAGTGCTACGAAATTCGTAGCGCTCTACGAGGCCCACAAACTGACTACGACGACTACAGCGAGCTACATATTTTGTCATTGTATAGTAACCGGCAAACATCGTGAGCAAATGACCTTGACTGCGCAGAACCGAATTTTAGATCACTTTGGTGGTGAGGGTGAGGCGCGACGGCAGGGGAAATCGTATCGAGCGCGTTATTGGTAGATCAGTCGAACCTTGCGTCCCGCACCGCGCCTTCGTTCCGCTTGCTCCCAAAAGTACGCTTGCGTACAGTGAAAAGTCTNTCAAATGATAGTAGACTAGACAAGGTATAAGGAAAATAAAGTTTCAAAGCGGGACCTCGCGGTACTTAGCAGGAATTTAATTTAATGTGACCCGCTCCATACAAAAAAATCACAAAACACATTTTTCTGACCAAACTATAAAGTTTTTGTAATTTTTGCCCAAAACAATTATTATTGAGATTAACGAGCTCTATCTATCAACATATTTTTTTTTATAAAAAAACAAAGTTGGTCCCTAAGTCACTAAAATCATAGAATCGACCCACTGTGAGGCGGTTCGGTGCCCTCACTTTTTTTTTTCTCTACCTATGCTGATAGCCTTGAGAGGCTATTTCAGCTTCTCCTTGACGTGTAGGTGAGCTCACGGGGCTCTAACCGGGAGTGTTGCTAACACTGGCCCTAGTAAGAGCAGTGCTTCGCAGAATCTACCACTGGATCGGAAACGCGACCCACTGAGAAGATCCGGCGAGAAACTCAGTGGGCTGTGTCTATAGATTAAGTACTCTCACATATTCTCGTCAACAACATAGCGCTCTGTTGCCCCAGTCACCGTCCTCGTCGAACCCGTCGCTTGCGACGAAGGGCTCGACGAGTAAACTAACCCCAGCCCACTGAGTTTCTCGCCAGATCTTCTCAGTGGGTCGCGTTTCCGATCCGGTAGTAGATTCTGCGAAGCACTGCCCTTGCTAGGGTCAGTGTTAGCAACTCTCCGGTTTGAGCCCCGTGAGCTCACCTACAAACGTTAGGGTGAAGCTGAAATAGCCTCTCAAGGCTATCAGCATAAGTAAAAAAAAGCGCTCTGTTGCCGCGAAAAATCGTCGCCGGAAACTACATAACAAAAATAAATACAAATAAAACGAACAATAAATTTTATTAAAGTATTTTTTATTCATTCTAATATTTACAACAGTTTTCAACAACAATGTATTTGATACGTGATTATCACAAACGCTTATTAATAATCGATAAAATAAACACATACAAAAAACAAAATGCATTCGATGCTCAAGTATTGTAAAGTACCTATAAATAGTTGGCAATTCAACTATAGGAAACAGAACTGACTTTTCATTACATATTTATTTTTATTAAAATATATTATTCTCGCTTGTAAACAATTTAATGGCACGTCTAATCATTAAATAATACACTCTAAACTAAATACGCACTATCACGGTAATACTTTTCGAAAAATATAAAGTATATCTACTATAAAAATAAAATCTTATATTATTTAACTAATTCACTAATTTGTAAATAACTTTTTCAAATAACACGTGGCACGTACGGGATATCTAGGTACTAAGATATACACTAAAACTATTTGTTAAGTAAGAAATGACATTTACGTATTTTTTGTTGCACTAACAGTAGGATTAGTTATCATTATATATTTTTTTTAAATTCTAACAGACTACCAATGAGCACTGGTGAACACTGAAGGAGAAATACGTGCTCGGTGTCAACTTCGGTGCTTTGCTTGTGTGACGTCACTTAACGAAGATTGCCAGATGACGACCCGAGCGAATGCTTACGGATTTTTGTTTTTTCAAATGGTATCCTGAGGCCGTGTGAAAAAGAGACTTTTTTTATTTTATTTTTTGGACATTCCTCTTTGACGACAGAATACGAGGCATAACATCACTGGAATATGGTGGACAAATAAATTCCACATGGAAATTTTAGAAGGCATATATTATTTGTCACCACTGCCATCAGCTAGGTAATTAAGTTTCAATACACAAATTGAATATTCATTAAAATCAATTAATATTATAATCGAGGCACTTCATTTCAATAAGGCGATTTATAATATACGTTTTTATGTAAATAATTAAAAAATAGTCGATTTTAATATTTATTTTAATCCGATACGCTTATTTAAAAGTTTGTCTCTTCTTTTATCTGTGTAGAAACTCTATGTAAGAAAAAGGCCACTAACGGCTATTCAAATATCATGGTTATTTTTGTTGATTGACGCTGGTAGAGGAAACTACGATCTTTTGGGGAAATTTCCTTATTATTATGACCTTATCTTTGATCAGTTTTGACTTGATTAACATAGACTTGACTTAATTTTGGTTTTGAAATAACTTTATCCGATCGTAAGATGTGTAAAAAGTTCAATAATTTAAATTTGAACTTAACTAATTTTCTAGAAGTGAAACACTTGAATGCTATATAGTATATCAGTCACTTATTTTAACCGAAAAAGCTTCAACTACAGATAAATTAATTTACTTATCCCAAAAGAAAACAAATTTACTGCCCGACTGTAGTTGAATAAAATGAAATAGTTAAGGCAATATAATTTAATATCATGGAATAGTTTCAAAGTAATATAATATAGACATCTACCGTCTCGTATCTTTCAGCGAAAATAAACAATCGTTTTTTTTTCTCACGCAACAACAGAAAATTTCTTTATCATTTTTTCAATCTATCTTCTATTTAAATAAAAATGAATTGCTGTTGGTTAGTCTCGCTAAAACTCGAGAACGGCTGGACCGATTTGGCTAATTTTGGTCTCGAATGATTTGTGGAAGTCCAGAGAAGGTTTAAAAGGTAAATAAATTTAAAAATGCTCGGAATTAAATAAAAATAACAATTTTGTTTTTCCTATGATTTGTCCCCCGTCGGACGGACTCCTTTTGTTTGTTTTAAGTTTATTTTATACAACAGTTTAGATCTTTTATTTATCGATCGATGCACTACGAAGTCTGCCGGGTCAGCTAGTAACAAATAAAACATTAACAGACCCGTGAATGACTAATAATTGATTTTTTAAGGCCTATTTTCGATGTCTGGATCATTATCACGCGGCAGTCTGAATGCTATTCTTTTTGTTGAGAGTTTTCGTTCTACCGCTGAAGTAGTCTTCAATGTCTTGCAAGTTTTTACCTTTGGTCTCCGGTAAGAAGAAATAGAAGTAAAGTATACCTGAAATTGGTAGAAACAGCTTTTAATTTAGCATTTTTTTATTGTGCTCGCATGATGCAACGAAATCCACGTTAAGTTTTTTTATTCATATCCATTAGGGAATGAATAGAACTTTAAGATTGTAACCTTATTGTTTCTAAAAAGTTTAAGTACATAAAAATATAATTTCGAGGTGTGCAAATTGAATTGAATTTGAAAGGAGCAAACTTTATTGAAGTTCACTTAACAACACCGAACTGTTGATGCTAATACCAAATAAAACCCATATTTAATTACAAAGATAAAAGTCGCGTGTTAAGTAATTAATAAATGTCCTTAAATAACCTTTCACCCTTTGATTTATGTATTTTGTCTTTCGATAAATTCATTTTAAACGACAATTTCTATTGTAAAACTATGGAATATTTACCGAAAAGCGACATGGCACCATACAAGGAGAAGATTCCGTATTGTCCAATAAGCTTCGCCAGCAACGGGTATGTCTTCACAACCGAGAACACGGACATGTGCGCCACGCACGTGGTCATGCCGCCTATGATGCCGCGCACCTGTAATAAATCAATTAAACACCTTCATACTATTATAGGTTCAACTACGTTCTGCCTGTGGATATTTGAGGCCATCAGCGCAAAAGTGACCTAACCCACATTTTTTTTAATTCAAGCTTATAGGACGTATATTGGAATTTATTTTTGCTCCTACCTACGCCGCCGAAAGTTCGGTTTTTATTTATTTATTGCTTAGATGGGTGGACGAGCTCACAGCCCACCTAGTGTTAAGTGGTTGCTGGAGCCCATAGACATCTACAACGTAAATGCGCCGCCCACCCGAAGCGCATTTCTGCTTCACGGCAGAAATAGGCAGAGCTGTACAGGGAAGAAAGTCTAACTGTTCCTCCCGCTGCACAGGGAAGAAAGTCTAGCTTTTCCTCCCTGTGTACTGATAAGTGCGCGTGCGCGTTAGTGTCTACGTCTGCTCTCACGCACCTAAAATTCTCCGCCATTGTTGTGCTCGGGTAATTTGCAAAATTGTATTTAGTGTAAAAGTGAAATAAATAAAAGGCAATAAAATTTAATAGTGAAGTATTAAACAAAGATGAGTTCTTCTGACAGTTCTTATTAAATTAGTAGTAGTTTATTTAAAAATAAAAAAACAGTTAAATTATTTTTTTACAGGAAGAGGTGGCTCCGCCCCCCCTGCCCCCTGCCAGGGCTTCTCCCCTGGACCCCGGTTCGGTACTCCACGAACTTTCGGCCTGGTGGGAGTAAAAATAGTATGTGCACCGCGGCAAAAAAGTAGGACATCTCATCCCGCGTGTTTCCTCCCGCGTGGCAATTTTACACGCGTGAGGAAATGTCCTACTTTTCTCCCTTGGTGCACAATGTACTATAAAATATAATAAATTTTGATGCAAAATCGGCCTATCCATAGTTTCATCCATAGTTAACAGATAGCTTTGTAAACATTATTTTTGCGCGGATTTTTTATTTGCTTACTCAAATTCAAATTTATGAAAATTCAAACCTAATTGCCTCCATGCTATCTATGATAAGCTTAGGCCACTTTTGCGCTGAAGGCCTCATTTAAAGGCCTAAGACTAGACCAGTGATTCTACACTTTTATCTATTTTAAAATTTAAAGCAAACAAAGAAAAAGATACGTTTAAAATTTATTGAATTATATGTAAAAGACCGCGTAAAATAATTTATGATAAAAATTTTGAATGTAAAATTTTAGTGTATACTTTAAAAAATTGGCGGCACACAAAAATACCGCAGCACACCAGTTGAGAGGCACTGGCCTAGAGCCTATTTATAACTAACCTAATTCAATGCCTATGCTATAACCTACTGTTATACCTAAGTATACCTATGCTATTAAACTCTAGGCACCAGATGTACTCGTTTTGGATTTTATTAAATTTCGTAGCACGACTTCAAGCAAACATCTTCGTGACATTAATATTTTTTATTTTGGCATCAATGATATTTTATATGTAAAAAGAAGCAGATATGTTTCAAGCTCACGTCAAGTGAAGACTCGAAAACAGGCCAATTGGGACGTTTCGTCTTTAGTCGCGTCTAAACAAATGCAATAATAACATAACAAGTGCAATCGTTCCAATTATAGCTATCTTTTTTACTCACGCGCTTATCCCATCTTTTGTACTTTTCATTAATGCTACTTGTCAACATGTGTGTGTACTATATCGGTAGGGATGTAGATATATATGGCGCGATCAGATTTGAAGAGTCATTCCATTAACGATGCTTTTAGGCACCACAAGCACCGGTCACCGTCCTCGTCGAACCCGTCGCTTGCGACGAAGGGCTCGACGAGCGAACTAACCCAAAGACACAGCCTACTGAGTTTCTCGCCGGATCTTCTCAGTGGGTCGCGTTTCCGATCCGGTGGTAGATTCTGCGAAGCACTGCTCTTGCTATGGTCAGTAGCAACCCTCCGGTTGAGCCCCGCGAGCTCACCTACTAACGTTAGGGTGAAGCTGAAATAGCCTCTCAAGGCTATCAGCATAGGTAGGAAAAGAAGAAGAGTCAGTTACTATGAAGATATCTGTTGTATAAAACATCATTGTTTGGCATTTAATTATTTGCTGCGATGTCGCGTCCGTAAAGTATGTATTGGATTTCTTTTGGCAAATTAATACACAAAAGTACGGGCACCATTTTATTAGCAGAGCGGAAGTGAAGTGATCTGTGGCATATTGCCATAGATATATTAATAATACATTATAGACTAACACATATATAACCATAGAGTAGTGCACAAATCCTAAAATATACTCAACAGTACGTAAGGTATAATAAATACAAAAAATTGTCTATATTTACCTGCGTTGGATAAACTTCACCAATCATAACCCAGGGAATGATTAGGTATCCTACAGTGCAGAAGACCATGAAAAGGTAGATACAGCCCACTGGGATCCAAGTGTACGATGGAGTCACATTGTTTTGTTTCCATCCTTCCAAGAAATACAAGTACACTCCAAGGATCAACATCGTGATCCCACAGCCGGCGGCTGGGAATGAAATACACAGATATAATTAAAAATAGAAAAGACAAATTAGTTATTTTAAAGAAGAGCAGTTAATTCTTATATTGACTTATTAGTATTGAGTTTCTTTGACAATGTTGCTTTTTTGTTTCCCTTACATATTAACTGGTAGACTAAGGGGCTATTCCAGTAACTTCCGGATGGGTAGGTGAGCTCACGTGCTCAGCCTGAGAGTATTTGCTAACACTAGCCCTAGCAAGAGCAGTGCTTCGCAAAATCTACCACAGGATCGGAATCGCTACTTACTGGGAAGATCCGCCGAGAAACTCGGTGGGCTTTGCTTACTATATGGCGTATGTAGGCAGATCTAGTATCTAAGCGGATCTAGGCAGATCATATTTACTGGTGGTAGGACCCCTCGTGAGTCCGTTCGGATAGGTACCACCACCCTGCCTTTTTCTGCCGTGAAGCAGTAATGCGTTTCGGTTTGAAGGGTGGGGCAGCCGTCGTAACTATACTGAGACCTTAGAGAGATCTCAAGGTGGATGGCGACATTTACGTTGTAGATGTCCATGGGCTCCGGTAACCACTTAACACCAGGTGGGCTGTGAGCTCGTCCAGCCATCTTAGCAATAAAAAAAGAAGAAGAATCTACTTATTTTTACACCAAGATCTGTATTTTACCTGAGACGAAAGTGAGAGGTCTCCGTCCATATCTTCTGCACATAATGCACCCGACAATCGTGAAGGCGACTCGGACAACGCCCAACGCAATAGTAAGTGCATTTTTGTGCGCCTCATTACCCGTCGCCTGAATCAAACATTTATTAATAGTAGATTAATAGTAGATAATAGCTTTGCTCGTTTTTTTTTTGATAACGCCATCTTGTTTTGTCTTTAAAGCAGTTAGTTTCTCTCAATTAAGAAATTAATATGCGCCAATAGGTGTCGGGAAGAGTCATAAAGTTGATTATTGAAAACACGAATAAAACAACATATTCTGAAAATAAATCGTAGCTAGATCGATTTATCGTCCGAAAGCAAAACATTTTATCTCAGGATTTCTTCGAATTCTATCCCTTACTGCTTTGACCACCTTTTTCGTACGAACACTACGTGGACGGCCAGATCTTTTTCTGTCACAAACTGAGGAGGTCTCATTCCACCTATTAATAGCCCGGTACACAAACATTTTACTAATACCAAGCGTATGGAGAGTTTTAAAAATTGCATTTGGCTCCATACCTACTTTGTGTAATGCAATCACAGCGATTCAGTTCTCTTTATCACCCCACTCCATTTTAATATCACAAAATATTGTACAATGTATTGGCGCCAAAATGAGAAAACTCAATGAGCAATCGTATAAAAATGACAAATTCCAAATTCAAATGTAATATTTTGTTTATTTTTAATGGTAACAGTATTTATGGCCAGACTAAGTATAGTTACAACGGCTGCCCCACCCTTCAAACCGAAACTCATTACTGCTTCACGGCACAAATAGGCAGGGTGGTGGTATCCACCCGCGCGGACTCATAAGTCCTACCACCAGTAAAAATTGTTATCTATTGTTTCGAAATTTCAATCTATCATTACCTTGAAAATGTGAACACTATATGACGTAATGCTGTTGATGCCACACCATTGATACACGAAGAAGTAAATGGCGAGGATCGTAAACGGCTTTAGAGCAGAAGGCGAACATAAAGCTTTGATTACTTCTCTCGCTGACTTCAGTCTGAAATAAAATTTATTCTAGAATTTTATATCAATTTAAAACCGGTACGCGGTAAATAATTTGCCTAAAACTCAACTCAGACGTGAAGTTTGATGATGAAGTTAGTTTCTATGTTTGAACTGATACATACGATTGCTCAAATGTATCACAATCTACATAGCGTAAAATAGCTGCAGAATCTATATATTAATAGTAGTCGTCGTGGCCTAAAGGATAAGACGTCCGGTGCATTCGTGTTGAAGCGATGCACCGGTGTTCGCCCACCGCAGGCGGGTACCAATTTTTCTAATGAAATACGTACTCAAAAAATGTTCACGATTGACTTCCACGGTGAAGGAATAACATCGTGTAATAAAAATCAAACCCGCAAAATTATAATTTGCGTAATTACTGGTGGTAGGACCACTTGTGAGTCCGCGCGGATAGGTACCACCGCCCTGCCTATTTCTGCCGTGAAGCAGTAATGCATTTCGGTTTGAAGCCGTTGTAACTATACTTGAGACCTCAGAACTTATATCTCAAGGTAGGTGGCGCATTTACGTCGTAGAAGTCTATGGGCTCCATTAACCACTTAACACCAGGTGGGCTGTGAGCTCGTTCACCCACCTAAGCAATTATAAAAAAAACTGTTAGTAACTACGGAATGGCCTTCTGACTGAGCCTTTGCTCGCCCGCCTGTCCTGGTGAAACTATTATAGAAAGACCTCCGGGCCACCAGTAATTCTTCAATCATAAAAAAAAACAACTACGGAATGGCTTGACCGTATTCTTTTCGTAACGCATTATCATAGCTTTGTGGCATAAACACTTATTAAAATATCGGAATTCTATAAAATATATTAACCTCATTATTTAAGATCAAACACGAATAATTAATATATACAAGTCGTTTTGTGGGCCTTTTGGTGTTTGTCGAAAGAGCTTTTCGAAGATAGATTGCCTTTCAGTTACTGTACGATATTTTAGATTAAAAATCTATCTTTATGTTCAACTATATATTCATATTTATTTTTATATTCATTAAATAAATTAAAACAAGTACTTACGGCTCAACATGGTTCTTCTCTTTAAATGCAATCATTTTATCGATCTCTTCTTGTAGATTACAAGTGGAACCCCTCAATTTAGCCAATGAGCTCTCGGCCCTTTCTCTCCTACCTTGCTGGAGAAGGAAATTCGGCGTCTCCGGTAAAAACAGCATGCTCAGGAGTGACATCATAGGAACTGATGCGCAAACGCCTGCCAGTATGTTCCATGAAGTTATACTGCCTATTACATACTGAAAATAAGAATAAATTTTAAGAGTTAAATGTGAATGCTTATCGCAATAATTCCGGAGGAGTAATTGTATACAACCAAAAATTCAATTTCAAAGCCTCAAGTGTGCTCTGAGGAATTGTTCGAGATGATACCGGCATCTCGTTTTTACCATCGCGCCGCCCGCCACCGGAGTAGAGTTCATCTATACTACCTGGAGCCACTGCGGTCACCCACAGTACGTTTCCAGAGGTCTTTTTTGCCACGTATCATCCGGCTATGATCCCCTCCACGGTGTTTCCCGAGCGCTATGACATGTCCTTCTTCAAACGAGGCTTGTGGAGAGTATTAAGCGGTAGGCAGCGGCTTGGCTCTGCCCCTGGCATTGCTGAAGTCCATGGGCGACGGAAACAGCAATTTTCCACTATAAACGATATTCGTTCTCAAAACATAAATTCTTGAATTCGGCTGCTAATTAAAAGTCTGTGAACTCGCAATTTAATCCAGAGGCATCTTGTAGACGTTAGAGCCTCATTGCCTCATGACGTCTATGGTGATATCCAGGGGCTCCGGTAAACATTTTACAACAATTCTCTTTACTTTTTTTTAGCACTAAGTGATGTAACGTTGGTCCAACTAAGAACCGTAAATTATTACTAAACTATCTATTGAATTCGATAAAATGTTCTACTTAATTAAAAACTATTCCATCGCTCTTGAAAGAACGTTTTCCCTATCGATTAATGATAATAAAAAATAAAAAAATATATTTCATATTGGTCTCTTAAGAGCCTTGATTGTAATTCATTTGACAGATCTTCGGGCAGTATGTGTAGCTGGTGTAAATCGTACTATCAATAGCACTTCTTATGGTAACTACGAAGTGATGCGTGACCAAATATTTGCTTATAAGCGACACATCTACTAACTAAACCAATATCTTTCATTCATCGTCAACAAATCTGTCACGATTCATTTATAACTAAGAGATTATATGTATGACAAGTGCTGTTTTGGTAAATTATGTTAAAATATACATGCGCCAATCTCTCGGCGAGGAACACTTAAGGCGACGGATGTGTTTTCTATAATATACGCTTACTGGCGGAATCAACAGACGTGGCTTTATACACACGTCTTAAATCCGAAAATTACAAACACTTTTTTTTTTTTTTTTGTAGTGGACCGAATTGTGAATCTAAGCCATTCTAAAATCCGCTCAAAAAAAAATTATCAAAATAAGTCCAGCCGTTTAGGAAGAGCTCACTAACATACACACAGACAGAAGAATTATGATTATATTATGATGAACATATTATAATTAGTTTGCATAAATATATTTGCTAATAAAATCCTAAGTTGGTTTGGTCTAAGTATTTTTCGTAAAACAATTACAACGAGCCTTTGTAACAACTGTTTTGCATTTCAGAAATATCGTATTTTTTTTTCATTTACTGTTTGTTACTCAAAGCATTTTTTTTACGTAATACAAATCTTTAAATTTACATGAAAATATGAAGCCGTCAAACTAATTCCGGAGTGTTCCGGGTGACAGTGAAAACAAATACATAATGCCTCTTAAATAGAATGCTCGGAGGTAAATCATTACTATTATAATGCTTAAGTTTTTCGTTCCATTCTCAATTGAATTTATGCAGATATATTTTAAAGTAGGATTGGTAGCTGTTATAGTTAAATAGGTAGGTAGTATATGTACTACCTACCTATTTATATGTAAATAATATTATGAATATTTTAAGGAAAACTGTTCGTTTCTTTATTTTTCCTGCTCGATAACAATATAATTTAATTAGGAAATTACTTTTTCATCGTCAAATACCCTAACGATATCGTCAAAAATTCAAACAATATTCGAACACATAGATCGTGTTTTATAAGCCTGATTTCTGGGTTAAGTCCCGAAAATGAAAATAGGTCTACTTTTTTTGCTTTCTTAAGCACAACAGTACAAAAAATATCGCAAACTAAATTTTATTATGAATTTATTTTTGCATTGTACATAAATAAATAAATTTAATAAACAGCTAACTGGTTCGAGGGCGGCGCAGGGATTCGCTAATTGCGTTTTCATTGCAAGCATTGTCGCTTAGTTTAATGAATGAAAATCCCTAGCAACCTGTTTAATAAATTATTATTTATCATAAGCTAAAAACAACAAATCAAATCAAATGAAATCAAAAAAAAATTATTCAACATAAATGAAAGTACATACTTGTTGAACGTCAAAAGAACTACCGCCAATTCACAAGGACTAGCCTCCGTCCTGAGAAGAATTGGCAAGAAACTCAGCGGGCATGTCTTTTTTTTTTAATATTAGATTTTTAATTAGATTTTTAATAAGGCTGTTTTCAGTAATCATTGGACGTATTAAGTACTGACCACTATCAAAACTCCTGTTGACACTCCGACGGACGCCAGAGCTCCTAACATGCCTCTGAGATGTGGTTGTGATACCTCGCACGTGTACACCCTGGCTGGGGCGCCAACCATACCCGAACCGAAGCCAACCAGCAGCCTACCTGTTATATAATCGGTTCAGTTAATTCAAATGGGTTCAGTTTAGTTTTTTTATTGCCCTTGTAGGCAGACGAGCATACGGCCCACCTGATGGTGAGTGGTTACCGTCGCCCATGGACTCCAGCGATACCAGGGGCAGAGTCAAGCCGCTGCCTATCGCTTAATACTCTCCACAGGTTCCTCCACAAGTTCTCTACTTAGTTAAAAAGCTTCGAAGAACCTGTCGACTGAAAGAATCGTTGAGCTGCCTTACTCCGTCATAAGGACACGGAACAAGCTTTTTTTATATTTTTATATCATAGGTAGCCGAACTGACGGCCCACCTGATGTTAAGTGGCTACCGGAGCTCATAGACATCTACAACGTGAATACCGCCACTTACCTTGACATATGGGTTCTAAGATCTCAGTATAGTACAATGGCTGTCCCACCCTTCAAACCGAAACGCATTACTTACTGCTTCACGACAGAAAAAGGCAGGGTGGTGGTACCTACCCGCGCGGACTCACAAGACGACGTACCACCATTAAAAATCATAGCGTCAGGGATAAATAACCACACTACACGGACCGAAATCAAAGAATCAACTTGAGTAAGAGTAAGATCCATGACGAGGAGTAGACATGGTGAGCGATGCAAATGATGAGAATGTGATTCGACTCTGACAATACTTATCAGTTGTGGTAGGGCTTCCTGTAAGCCCGCGCGGGTAGATATCACCGTCTATTTCTTTCGAGAAACAATTTTACCCTACCCTTCAAATCGTTTCGATTTCAAGAATGGCACAGCCGTTGTACTATAAAACTAAGACTTAGAACTCATCTTTCTATTATTTGTTCTTGTCTATATAGACATATACCATATGCTCCGAGGATCACTTAACGCTAAGTTTTTTTATTTTATTTTTATTGCTTAGATGGGTAGACGAGCTCACAGCTCACCTGGTGCCAAGCGGCTACTGGAGCCCATAGACATCTATAACATAAATGCGTCACCCACCTTGAGATTCTGATATAAGTTCCAAGGTCTCAGTACAGTTACAACGGCTACACCACCATAAGTAATTACGTAAATTATAATTTTGCGGGTTTGATTTTTATTACACAATGTTAGTCCTTCACCGTGGAAGTCAATCGCGAGCACTTGCTAAGTATGTATTTCATTAGAAAAATTGGTACCCGCCTGCGGGATTCGAACACTGTTGCATCGCTCGATACGAGTGTACTGGACGTCTTATCCTTCAGGCCACGGCGACTTCAAAAAGTAAGTAGCTCGTGATCTCGTCCTTCCATCTAAATATTAAAAGAAATCCACTTCTAGTATGCTCCTGACCTGTCTTTCTCAACTGCCTTAACATATTTATCCTAAACAGTTTTGTTATGTTTCATCAACTTACCTATATACATCATGGGAATATTTACAGAGGTCGAAATCAGAATCCATCCGAGAATGAGAGGTATTTCAGTGAGTATTAAAGTGAGACGTCGTCCAATTAAGTCCATCAGGTAGCCGCTTAGAATACATCCGATCGGGGTGCCGGCTGAGCTCAAGCTTGCTGAAAAAAAATTGAATTCCCTTTAATGTACCTATAGCAAACATCATCATCATCTTAGGCCTTACAGCCCAGGGTGGGCCTTAGCCTGGTCCAGTATGTCTCTCCAGACTGCTCTGTTCAGGGCTTTCTCCTTCCAGTTCTTGACGCCGATATTTTTGAGGTCGCGCTCCACGCCATCCAACCATCGGAGTTTGGGTCTGCCACGACTTCTGCGGCCCTCTGGTTTGCCATAGAACAATTGTCTCAGCATTCTGGTACTCTCCATTCGAACCACATGTCCTGCCCATCGTAGGCGTCCAATTTTTATAGTTGTTATGATATTAGGATCTTTGTAAATATCATACAACTCGTGGTTATAGCGCGTCTTCCATATCTCGTTTTCCTGCACAGCACCGAATATGCGTCTTAGAATCTTACGCTTACTAATGCCCTTTAATGTACCTATAGCAAACACCCACATCACAAAGCATACAAACTAACAATTGTAGAATAATTTTGTTTCTAAGCTATCGCTCATATGGGAACGTTATAATTGTGTTTTTAATAGCTTCAGACGTATGTATGTTTGTAACAGAATCTTTGAACATGATTTTGACCCCCTTCAAAACGTAGGATTAACTCGATATTTGGTATACTTTGACTAATTTGAATTAAAAAATGTGTAAGAAAAAATGATTTTATCGTAAAAAAAGCGTGGGATGCATGGTATCAGTAGTTATAAATATTTTATGAACAGATATGAGTAGAAGGGCTATTTTGATAATATCCTGAAAAGTAGCCCACGCTTTTTTTGTTAGTTTTTTTAAACTTATTTTTTTTACGAAATAGGAAACATGTTTGCCTTCACAGATCTTAATTGTAATCTCAAGTCATTAATAAGCAATCAATCTGTGTCTAGAGAAACGTGGATGCGATTTCCGCGTTTTTTCCATAACGAACAAAGTAATATTTTGACAATGTTTACACATTATAATTATCTAGCAAAGCATCGTTCATGATAGGCGGTAATTTAATTGCGTAATGAGTGATAATACGTTTCACCTTCGCCATATTAGAATACAAACCACATCACTCCAAGGAGATTTTCTGTTTTTTTGCATTCGATATTGGAATTCTATCCTCACGAAATCTATGAATGTCGTCGAACGCACCGCAGTTGAATAGTAATTCTCTTTCCCTGTCTGTATGCGTATTGTATATAATCTACAACGTTGTTTTATTATAATGTTTGACATTGATAGCGGTATTATCGCTACATAGTGTAAAACAAAGTCGCTATCTTTGTCCCTATATCTATATATATATTTTTTATTGCCTTTGTAGGCAGACCCATGGACTTCAGCAATGCCAGGAGCAGAGCCAAGCCGCGGCATACTGCTTAATACTCTCCACAAGCCTCGTTTGAAGAAGGACATGTCATAGCGCTCGGGAAACACCGTGGAGGGGAGCTCATTCCATATTCCGGATGGTACATGGCAAATAAGACCCATCCACAGTGCGTTTTCAGAAAAACGCACTGTGGATGACCGCAGTGGCTCCAGATAGTATATATGGTTAAATCTTTAAAACTACGCAACGGATTTTGAAACGGTTTTTTTTAATAGATAGAGTGATTGAAGAGGAAGGTTTACATGTATATTAGCATCCATTAAATAGTGGAGAAATCAATAATAAATTACAGTTTACGAAGCGAAGCGAGGGCGGATCGCTAGTTTACTATATATTACTAAGCTCAACTTATCGCTCTATAGCGTCAAATATTTCATAAAGAAAATTGTTTTGTCGCAAACATTTGCTAATTTGATTGACTTCATGTTAATACAAACTAGTTAGACATTAAATTAATTTATTGTTATGATTAACTTAATTTTATGTATATCTTAACATGTCACTGTAAATGCTATTTAGAACTTTAATACGTACATTTTTATTTTATAACATTTTTTTTATAAATAAGTAAATTTTGATAGAAGCTTATAATTTTCCAAACAATTTAAGAAGTGTAAAACATGTTTTTTTTTATTTATTTACTACGACTCTGACAAATTTGTAATAAGCTTGAAGTGCGTCTAAAATTAGTTACAAATTTTGTCAGAACGTTATCACATCTCGAAAAAGCCTCTCGCAATCTCTTTCGCATGTCTATACATTAGTTTGACGCTGTTTGACGCAATTAACTGCAATGCGCATCTTTCCTTGTTACTCGGAAACCGCGACCAGATATAGAGGTTTACATAATGCGTACTCTCTTTGGTACAAAAGATCCCAAAGCATTGGGAAACTATTCCTCCAGCCTCTTCGGAGATTGAAATTCCGATCCGATGATAGATTCTGCGCAGGACTGCCCTTGCAATGGCAGATAAACGCAACCCTTCTCAGGCTAAGTCCCGTGAGCTTGCCCAGAGATGAAGCCTAAAGCGAAAATACCCCCTACAGAGGCTACTAGAATATAGATAGGCCAAGAAAAGATTGTAAAAAAAAAAGTTAGTAGAAGAAACTGTTCCCTTGGAAACGCTCTCCGACATCAAATATATCTACTATAATCAACTATAATACTAACCAATCCAACTGGCCTGGTCTTCGGAGATAAACAGCGTGGAATTTTCATTTTGCAGCTGTGGTAGGGCAACGGCTGAGAAACCGAAGGCCATGCCTGTGTTGATGGTGCCCAAATTAGCCAAAAACGAGGCGAAGACCTGTTTCAGAGCTTTCCCTCGGCCTTCTTTCCCAGGCTTGCATTTCTCGATTAGCACCTTCTTGGTGATCGTGGCCGGTACTCCATTCTTGATGAACGGTGCTGATTCGTTCCTGTGAAAACAAGATAATTCATGTTAATAAATGATACGATGAGTATATGAGTATAACGCGGCTTAAATCTCTTCTTCTTCTTGTTGTCAGCCCACAGACGTCCACTGTTGGACATAGGCCTCCCCCAAGCCTCGCCACAAAGACCGGTCCTGAGCTGCTTGCATCCAGCGGATCCCCGCTAACCTTCATAGATCGTCGGTCCATCTTGTGGGAGGCCTACCCACGCTATGTCTTTCGATACGCGGTCACCACTAAGAACTTTCTGTCCCCAAAGGCCATCCGTTCTACGAGCCATAGAAAATACTGCAACATGGCCCAGGTTTCAATCGAATCAAAGTCTTTCTCGTAGTCCACAAATGCTAAGCAAAGCGGCAGGTTATATTCCTCGGTCTTTTATATAATCTGCCGCAAAGTATGAATGTGGTCTACGGTACTATAGCCTTTTCAGAAACCCGTTTGTTCGGATGGCTGGAAGTCATCAAGCCTGCGTGCGAGACGGTTCGTAATAACTTTCGAGAACAACTTATACACATGACTCAGAAGTGAGATGGGTCTATAATTCTTCAAACAAGTATTGTCAACCTTTTTGAAGAACAGTACTACCACACTTCTGGTCTATACCAGGGACACAATCCCATAGAGAATGACGGATTTAAATAAATTCTGAAGGGCCGGAAGGGCTGGTTTTTCACCCGCTTTCAGAAGTTCAGCAGTAATTTCATCCTCATCCTCAATTGTATTGCATCGCAATTTTAATATCAAACGACATTACGGCATCGCGCCAGAAATACACCAGATGGCGGTTTCTACCCTAGCGGTGCTCAAAAACACAGAACTTTTTATTTTTTTAGTACTGAAGGATTACTGGTAGCCCGGAGGCATTTCCAGTTTCACCGGGACATGTGGACGAGCACGAGCTCAGCCAGGAGGGGTGGGATCTGTTAACAGAATTGATAAGCCCTTGTGTGTTATCGGCAATAATATTGTGATGTCTATAAATTCCACTAACCACTTAATACTAGGAAAGGCGGTTTTTTTATTGCTTAGATGGGTGGACGAGCTCACAGCCCACCTGGTGTTAAGTGGTTACTGGAACCCATAGACATCTACAATGTAAATGCGCCACCTACCTTGAGATATAAGTTCTAAGGTCTCAGTATAGTTACAACGGCTGCCCCGCCCTTCAAACCGAAACGCATTACTGCTTCACGGCAGAAATATGGCAGAAGCACGGCAGTTTGCTTGTTTGTTCTTGGTTTCGTGTACGTAAATGATTCATGCATGTTAGTAATTCATCAAAATCAAATTAACGTCATCGGAATGCATGAGCACGCGGAAGTTGAACCTTAGTAACAAAATAAACAAAAATATTATATCAATAAAAAAACAGGAAAATGTTATGTACGTAAATTAAATTTATTTAAATTATTAAATCAAAACGACCGGCTCAATTATACTAGTTTCGTTACATCGTAATGGTAAATTCAAATAGATTAATGTGCGTGCCATAAATATTTATTTATTTTTATTTATTTATACTTTATGCACAAAACCAAAGTTGTACACAGGCGGACTTAATGCCATGAGCATTCTCTTCCAGTCGACCATAGGGCGGTGCAGAGATAATGCATGGTAGGTGCATTAACAAAAGAATAACAAACAACAACAAAAAAACAAAAAAAGAACAAAATCAAAACAAAAATCTTCCTTAAAGTAACATCTCAGTATTATAGAATACACATAATGTTAAATATAGGTACTTATATAGATTTCATATGACTTTGTATGCATAAATAAACATATTAATAATTTAATATATCTATGTAGAAAATAATAAAATACACACATCTATATATTAATACGTGAAGCAAAAACTTTGTATCCCTTTTTACGAAAATTGCGCGGACGGAGGAGTATGAAATTTTCCACACTTATAGAGAATATAGAGAAGAAGCGCACAATGCTAATATTTTTTTAAAATAATATTAAAGATACATTAAATCGATAAAGAAAACATTACACACACTACGTACCATGTATTTGACGCACACACGCATGCATATTATTTATTGTCAAGCTTTTGTTCTTGACGTCTGTTGTCAAATTGAGAATAGATTAAAATAAAATATTGTTTGTCTTTATTAATATTTTTTTATAGAGTAGCTTTGGCGAAATTTGTGATTATAGAAGTACAAAATACAATTATAATAGTGTACAGACTTACAATTCCAATTAATTATAGTCGAATTTCGACTACTGCGGGACCTCTAGTAATTTATAAATACACATGAAAATACACAATTTAGTATTATAATTAAGAATGGCTAAAAAAAAAAACGATACGATTAATACGATTAATATTAAATAAATTAATAATAAAAATACTATTGTATCCGTTAAATATGTACTAAAGTGTAGTACATTTATAGGATAAAATATTATGTACAATGTAGTCTAAGCAATCAGTAAGATCACATTCTGTATGATGAGAAACCTATCGAAGCCACAAAAGCAAAGGCAAATTAAATTTCCTCAATTACGTTCATGATTTTCTTTATTCCATTTGGTATATAAGTATTTATAATATAAATTTTATTTTGTTTCGATGTTGATAATGTCTACAGAATGTCTTTTGCGGTAGGCAGCGGCTTGGCTCTGCCCCTGGCATTGGTGAAGTCCATGGGCGACGGTAACCACTCACCAACAGGTGGGCCGTATGCTAGTCAGCCTACAAGGGGAATAAAAATAAAAAAATGTAAAAAAAAAATTCGATTCGGATAAATAGCGGATAAATTTTAAAATAAGTTCCGACATCGGTCTAAAAATTACTCAAGATCTCAAAGGATATTATTAAATAATTCAAATAGTAATCTGTTTTCTAATACTTTAAATGTAAAATTATTTTTGTATATATATACATATATTTTCGATTCAATTTTGGTTTATTAACACTATTGAGTTCTTGTTTTGAAAATTAAAATTGTTTAAACACAACAATAAACAATCAACAAAGAGAATTGTTGTTAACTAGATAAATAATTCTATTGAGTTCCTGATAATAACAACGCTATTATTGTATTAATATAATTATCATTAATCAATTACCATTAGACAACTCGATTGTAATGAATACGAGCGCTATTTAATTTCTAACAATAAAACTATAATACTTGTCCGGAACTGATCTCCAATGATAACCTATCACAATTACGAGTATAATTGTGTCAAAAAAATAATTAACGACAAAATATTATCTCTCCCGCAAAGCTGCTAGTTGGGCGTTCTATGATTGTTGGGACAGATATTACGCAGTAGTATTGATAATCAGTTAACAGTAGGTGGCCCATGACTTCATCCGTCTATCTATATATTAATACAAAATAGTGATCTGTAGGTGTAGAGTTAACGTCCACAAAGATAAGGAATAAAGGCTAAGGTATCATTTTCTGTGGAATTACTTACAATGTAACGTTGTTGCTCTTGAAAAGAAAGCAAGAGAAATACACAACGAAATTCTGGTCAAAACATTAATGTCTATACAACAAATAGACTATACCTACTTTTTTTATTTCATTTTTTAATGCTTAGATTTATGGACGAGCTCACGGTCCATCTGATGTTTAATGTTAGTGGAGCTCACAGATATTAAAGACGTTAATACGCCACCCACCTTGAGACATGAGTTCTAATCTAAATTTTTATAGTATAGCGGTTTCCCTCTATTCATGCCGAAACGCTTTAGTCCTTTAAGACAAAAATAGGTAGGACGGTGGTACTTACCTGTGTGTGCTCACAAGACGGCCTACCACCAGTATTACCTCAAATTATAACAAAGTTGGTAGGCAGCGGCTTGGCTCTGCCCCTGGCATTGTTTAAGTCCATGGGTGACGGTAACCACTAACCAAGGGCAAAAAAAACGTTTGATTTTTATTACGCGATGTTACTACTCCATCGCGAAAATCATTAGTTATCGTGTGTTAAGCACCTACGTATTTCATTTAAAAAATTGTTTCGTGTCTACGCGATTGACACCGGCAAATTCGCATCGCTCGATACGTGTGCACCGGGCATCTTATATTTTAAACGACTTCTCTATCCTAATTGTCAGCATATTAAAATAAAATCATTCACGCGACCAGCGGACATTCACTTGATAGGTTATCAAGTAGTGTCAGCTATTACTTATCTAAAAGTTATTATTTACACTTAGGGTCAATTCATCTTGCGATAAATATACACCATAAAGACTATCATTCAATATACGCTGCACCTGTTCACAAAAGATTTTGATGATGAAGGATCCTTGTTATGTAACAGTGTGCGAGTTTTTTAACGTTCTCGATAGCGTAAAAGTTAACCCAAATTTGTATGAAATTAGAACGTTTGTCTACGTTTACTACGTTTACTGGTGGTAGGACCTCTTCTCTTGTGAGTCCGCACGGGTGGGTACCACCACCCTGCCTATTTCTGCCCTGAAGCAGTAATGCGTTTCGGTTTGAAGGGCGGGGCAGCCGTTCTAACTATACTGAGACGCATTTACGTTGTAGATGTCTATGGGCTCCAGTAACCACTTAACACCAGGTGGGCTGTGAGCTCCTCCACCCATATAAGCAATAAAAAAAAACCTTTGCCGCTAGGGACGCTGTTCTAACTGCATACAAATTAGAGTTAACTCTTACGCTATCGAGAACGTTAAAAAACTCGCACCAAGCACACTGAACAAAAGCTAGCGAACGTCACACCTACGTCATTGTACTCATGGTGCAAATGAAAGTTTTTACGCGCAAATTGGAATCGCGGTGACATTGACAATTTTGACAGAATTTTACGGAAAAGGCGCGTAAAAATGTTGCCATATGACAATTTTTTTAAACTTTCATTCATCATTGATAAATTTATACCAAAAAAATACAAGTTTTGCGTAATTACGGTCATCATTCAGTTTGAAGGATAGCAAAGATATTCCAATAAAGACTTTTATGGCAGGATTTGGCGCACATAATCGTCGAGGCAGTTATGTATCCATATTTTTATTACCGCTGTAAGCATAAGAGAATGTATGCGGAAATCTCATGGGTCAACCGATTGGCTAGCGCTCTAATCCCTTTTGAAAAACCTCTTCCTGGTCAAAGCTCTTTTGAAGATTAACGTATCATTAGAGTCAAAAAGCTACGGAAGTTTTTTTAACAATCGGGGACAAATCAATCACAGCCATGTGACCCAAAACTAGGATTCCTTGTAGTATTGGAAAGACTGATATAAATACTATAGATATTGTACACCCAACTAAAAAGTAAACTAACTTGTGCATTATACAAATGTTAGCCCGATGTGGGAATCGAAGCCACGGTCTAACAATCAGGGCGAGACAGTCAGTTAATTCCAGAGCGTATAAATGGCAAAGGTGATATTTGAAATCGCGCTGTAGACGAATACCGCTATCAGGTAAATACGATTGAAATTCTGTAGCAAATAATGCGATGTCAAAAGAAAGTAGGGGTCCAATTCAGCAATGCCTCATTAAATAGTCATAGTTACTATGGAATACTGTATTGATGGTTTGTACGTCTCTCAGCGTAAAAAATCCAATAAAATTATGTTCACGTGCGTCAAACCAATGTACGCACGGCGCCAGCCGCTCACTTGGTGTCTATTACATTTATTACGTACCTAACACTCATTACTTCCAATAAGCTCTTGTTGGCATTGACAAATGACATAAAAAGTCATTCATATACACATGTTTAAATGTTAGGGATGATAAGCTCATGATAAACAGTCGCTAATCCAGCTTCGGAATGAATTCTCTTCCACGGTATTTCGCGAGAGCGCTGGTGGAAGGACCTCTTGTGAGTCCACGCGGGTAAGTACCACCGCCCTGCCTATTAAGGGTGGGGCAGCCGTTGTAGATATACTTGAGACCTTAGAACTTATATCTCAAGGTGGGTGGCGCATTTACGTTGTAGATGTCTATGGGCTCCAGTAACAACTTGACACCAGGTGGGCTGTGAGCTCGTCCGCTCATCTAAGCAATAAAAAAAAATAACAGGTCCTTCAAACGAGGTTTAACAGGCGCTGCCTGTGTTGACTATGCCATTGGCGATGTCACCACTTACATTACTTTACCTAGCTAAAAAAGCAATTAAAAAATAAACATAGGCAAAGAGAGTCCTATTTTAGACTAGAAACAATATTTTTTTCTCAATTGCGTGTTCAAAACGATATTATTCCTCCAAACTGAAACTGAACCGAACCGACATTATTGCTTCAGTGCAGAAGCTATGCACCCCTATAACTGTGCGAGCACACAAAATGCTCTACCGCCAGTAAAAACAGATCTTAGAGAAACTCTTTTAAGTTTTTTTTTATTGCTTAGATGGGTAGAACAGCTCACGGGCCACCTGATGTCAAGTGGTTAACGGAGCCCATAGACATATACAACGTAAATGCCCACCTTGGGATATGAGCTCTAAGGTTTCTCTTAAGTCAATTGTCATAGCAATCTTCCAGCATGCTTCACAATACGAATTCCCAGATAATGTTTTATTATTTTCCCCCTATTAGAGTACATTAACAGCAGTACTTAATGCATCGTGTAATTTAAAGTTTGCGACTTTTTCACTTCGAACGTTTTATTGATCATTAGTATAATCGTTTGTCGTTGTAGTTACAACGGCTGCCCTGCCCTTCAAGCCGAAACGCTGCTGACGGCAGAAATAGGCAGGGTGGTGGTACGCACGGACTCACAAGAGGTCTTACCACCAGTGAAAAGTTCTCTCTCTCTCTCTCTCTTATTATTAAATTAAGGCTTATAAGGGAAGCGAAAAATACCGATATCCAATATAATTAAAATTTCGACCTCATGTCACTGAGTAACTGACCCCATATTAACATGGCTTCGGAGTAATCACACCGGATGGATCGTGAAGTCATCGGTCTAACTAACTCACAAAAATATAACATAACAAATTTTCATTGAGATGATTCCGTTAACGCAAAGTATTGTCAAGTGAACAATTTTAATTTAACTATTTACGTGCGTAATTCTTCCATTACCTTAGCACGAATACTTACTAAAGGATAATTACTGAATTCATTTACTATCCACAAGGTTTATGACTTTTATCGCTGGGACATTGAAAATGCTGTAAATGTTGGATATTATTGGAACTGATTTATTTTATAGTGATCTGGAATAATCGGCGCAATAATAAGGAAAAATTTAAGCATTTTGCCTTTTATTTATGACTTATAATGTATTCTAGTTTACACGATATTTTGTCTTTTGTCAATCATCAAATTTAATGTAAGAGAACACGGTGTGATCATTATAGACTGCGCCCTTTTATAAATACTAGAGGTCCCGCAGTAGTCGAAATTCGACTATAATTAATTGGAATTGTAAGTTTGTACACTATTATGATTGTATTTTATACTTCTATAATCACAAATTTCGCCAAGACTACACTATAAAAATTATTAACAAAGACAAACAATATTTAATCTCAACTTGACAACAGACGTCAAGAACAAAAGTTTGACAATAAATAGTATGCATGCGTGCGTGCGTCAAATACATGGTATGTAGTGTGTGTAATGTTTTCTTTATTGATTTAATGTATCTTTTATGCATTATTTAAAAAAAAAATTAGCATTGTGTCCTTTTTCTCTATATTCTCTATAAGTGTGGAAAATTTCATACTCCTCCGTCCGCGCAATTAACGTAAAAAGGGATACAAAGTTTTTGCTTCACGTATTAATATATAGAAATACTATAATACTCCTAGAATTCTCAGAATTATTGAAATTTGACTATACAATTGCTTTAATTCAAATTCATCTGATGTATACATTCCATTTTCTCTTTTTTGTTATTCACTTAAGAAAAAGAGATTAAATTCTTAAAAAACAATTGGTTATAAACCAAAGCATGACAGTAGTTTTTGTTAAACAAAATGTATGTATTAAATAAACTAAACTATTGTATATAAAAGAAAAACAAGAAAAAACGTTAAGCAAGGAGAACATATTGGTCAACTTTTTGGCTTTTTTGAAGGAAAATGAATGTATTATGATAAATATTTCCATAACTTTTGTAAATAACACTAAGTCCTATCAATGGACACTAATTTAAATAATAATAATGGAAAATCTGGTTCCAAAATACAAATATTGTTTTAGATCATTCGTAAAAATTATCCTTTTTTTTTAAGACTCAACTCGACACTATTTTTCGATATTTTTATAATATTCTTACAAAATGGGTTTTACAAAAAAACAATTAGGTCTTTTAAAATGTGTTCAAGTGTGTTCGCGAGTGTCCAGAGAATATTTATACTCAAAATTGAATTTGTGTTAAATTACATCCCTGGACATTTCAAAAACTTTTTATTTATTTATTGCTTAGATGGATGGACAAGCTCACAGCCCACCTGGTGTTAAGTGGTTACTGGAGCCCATAGACATCTACAACGTAAATGCGCCACCCATCTCGAGATATAAGTTCTAAGGTCTCAGTATAGTTACAAAGGCTGCCCCACCCTTCGAACCGAAACGCATTACTACTTCACGGCGGAAATAGGCGGGGTGGTGGTACCTACCCGTGCGGACTCCCAAGAGGTCCTACCACCAGTGATTACGCAAATTATAATTTTTGCGGCTTTGATTTTTATTACACGATGTTATTCCTTCACCGTGGAAGTCAATCGTGAACATTTGTTGAGTACGTATTTCATTAGAAAAATTGGTACCCGCCTGCGGGATCCGAACACCGGTGCATCGCTAGATACGAATGCACTTGAGGTCTTATCCTTTAGGCCACGGCGACTTGCAAACTTTCACATTTCAAATTAAACGATCAAAATTAGTGTTCGAAATGTTGTCTTCACATCAAAGAACCGGACGCGATGCCCAAACTGCTTCCAATTGCTCCAATTAATCTCGATCGGGACTGATAATACTCAGACTTTGGCTCTTGCAAATCCAAAATTATTAACAGAATAACAGACTTCGTAGTGCCTCAATCGATAAATAAAAGACATGAACTTTTGTATAAAAGAAACTTAAAATAAACAAAAGGAATCCGTCCGACGGGGGACACATGAAAGAAAAAACAAAATCGTTATTTTTATATAATTCCGAGCATTTTCATATTTATCTACATTTTAAACCTTCTCTTGACTTCCACAAATAAGTTAAGACCAAAATTAGCCAAACCGGTCCAGCCGTCCTAGAGTTTTAGCGAGACTAACGAACAGCAATTCATTTATATATATAGGTATATAATATATAGATAAATGGGCGGACAAGCCCACAGTCACCCAAATCTAAAGCTAGTAGTGACAAGCCTACAATTAACTATCTAGAATAAGAGGGGGTGAATTTAAAATATCATTATATTTTTTAAATAACTAAATAAAGAACACAAATATACATAAAACCCTTTCATATGTATCCAATACTAAATATTATTAAAATGTTTCAAAACTTACATAGAACCGTATTTAGGCATTCTTGAACTAATCGATGAAGCTGTGTCCAAAACATGGAGCGCCTGTTTGTGAAAATAAAATGAAACTAATGTATTTGTTGTTGATTATATATTAAAAAAATTATGACGTGGAAAAAATAAAAGTAATCTTAGAGTCCCAAAGCTACATCACTTGCATGGATCATTTATTATTACATGAAGCCGGATACTAAGTACTACGCTTTACTGGTGTTTTTTTTTTATTGCTCAGATGGGTGGACGAGCTCACAGCCCACCTGGTGTTAAGTGGTTACTGGAGCCCATAGACATCTACAACGCAAATGCGCCATCCACCTTGAGATGTAAGTTCTAAGGTCTCAGTATAGTTACAACGGCTGCCCCGCCCTTCAAACCGAAACGCATTACTGCTTCACGGCAGAAATAGGCGGGGTGGTGGTNGTGTTTTTTTTTTATTGCTCAGATGGGTGGACGAGCTCACAGCCCACCTGGTGTTAAGTGGTTACTGGAGCCCATAGACATCTACAACGCAAATGCGCCATCCACCTTGAGATGTAAGTTCTAAGGTCTCAGTATAGTTACAACGGCTGCCCCGCCCTTCAAACCGAAACGCATTACTGCTTCACGGCAGAAATAGGCGGGGTGGTGGTACCTACCCGCGCGGACTCACAAGAGGTCCTACAAGAGGAAGGCAGCCGTTGTAACTATACTTGAGACCTTAGAACTTATATCTCAAGGTGGGTGGCACATTTACGTTGTAGATGTCTATGGGCTCCAGTAACAGCATAACACCAGGTGGGCTGTGAGCTCGTCCACACATCTAAGCAATAAAAAAAAAGCTCTAAGCCTACTTCTGTAATAAGCTCATTAATCGACTAGGAACTGGCAGACTAGCTTTCATCATGTCCTGATTGACATGACATATTGAAAACTTTTTCTTTCCTGTATTTTAGGGTTCTCAAATCCTACAAGCTTTTTTCCTAAGAAATCCGTCTTGTTTATATTGTCATAAAGCAGTTCTCGTTATTTCAAGGCAATTTCAATCTTATATCTTAAAATAGACGACGGCAATAATGAAGTGGTTTCTTACGATTTTAGTTATTATTTTGTGAATCAATCTTTTAAATACCTAATAGTAAATTCTTGCCTTCAGAGAAATTAAATATTTAGACAATAAAACTTGAATCTGGCTTGCGCACCAAGATTTACCGCCTTATCGTTAGCTGAATTAATTTATTGATGCAAATTTGTAACTCATATTTTATTTGATGAATGAATAAAAAAAAACACGTGTGGCACTCGGGGACTGCCGCGGTAAAGCTATTGCAAAGCATTTTTTATCAACTTATGCAATTACAATTAGACAATAATAATTTAATATTAAAACAATAATAAAAATAAGACCACTCTATATTTATAAACATTAACAAAAGCAAAACATTAACTGTCCCCTTCACACTCATAAGCTAGACCGCGTGAGAGAGAGATGGGCAGACTTTTCATAATGCTCATGCAGTGCGACGTCACGCCGCGCACTTATTCGCAAACACTAAACCAGCGCAACGTGTGAATGTGTTGAATGCGAGCTACAGGCGTAGTGGAGGTGTCAGGTTATTTTCGTTACGGAATTTCTTGATTCAGTCGCCGCGCTCAAGGCCCGCGATAGAAGCTATGCAATAGCTTAAAAACTCTTATTAGATTAACGGGTTTTAATTGATTTAACTTAAGACTTATGATACAATTGCAAACTAGTGCATAAACATTGTTTTTATCACGATTAATAGAAACAAACTTTGTTAGATACGCTTTTATATAACGGTTGTAAAAAAAAATCGTTACTTATGATTTCATTCTGAACAAACTCTTCTAATAATTTCATAAATATGCACTTCAATCATGCCAACATAATTCATATTATTAATCACCATATGATAATTATTCCTTTGCGAAATGGCGAACATATTTCGTTCGAACTATCTACACATCACACTAGTTTACAGCGTAATTGTGGATTCAATTAAACGGCCGTCTGGTGTAGTGGTAAGTGACATGGTCTCTACACAAGGGGGTCGCGGGTTTGAATCCCGCCAAGGGAAGATATTTGTATGATAAATATAAATGTCTTTTCCAGGGTTATGGATGTATATTAAATATATGTATGTGTATAATAAAAAATTTACATTTATATCCGTTATCTAGTACCTGTAACACAAGTTCTTTACGAACTTATCACGGGACCAGTTAACGTGGCGTGATTGTTAGTAAATATTTATTTATTTATTTATAATTCAGTTTTCTGAATTCTTATTAGGTATTTAACTAATTTAGTTTGTACGAAAAATCGCGTTAACACTGGGCCGTAATGTGAGCATCGAATAGTTTAAATTCGCACAAGTAACCTTTATGGAAACAAGTTAAATGACGAATATTCGATGAATACCGGTTGTGCCTACGTTTAACCTAAATTAATTTGTTGAAATAAACGTGAATAGAGAATCATATCGTTGCAATACAACGTTACTTAATATGCATGTGTAAAACGGCAGATTATTTTAAAAAATCGAGTATAAAAAACACTGGCGTATATTTTTTTTATTATTAGAAGAAGATTAGATTATATTAACATGAAAATTCGAGTTTTATTTCACAATTAATTTATAACTTATTTATTATTTACTATTTATTATTTACTGGTGGTAGGACCTCTTGTGAGTGGTGGTGGTGGTAGGTACAACCGCCCCGCCTATTTCTGCCGTGAAGCAGTAATGCGTTTCGGCTTGAAGGGTGGGGCAGCCGTTGTGACTATACTGAGACCTTAGAACTATACCTCAAGGTGTGTGGCGCATTTACGTTGTAGATGTCTATGGGCTCCAGTAATCACTTAGCATCAGGTGGGCTGTGAGCTCGTCCACACATCTAAGCAATAAAAACAATTAAAAAAAAATTGTATCTGCTATTTAAAATAAAATAAAAACCACGTATACTATAATATATACTGAACGCCTATGTGTATAAATATCATTTATAGTTAATTTATTTATGGATAATAATATATAGTTCTTATTTTGTATCGGAATCAGAAACGCTTTCCTTGTTTTTAATTTTAGGATTTTACATCAATTTATATTAATGATTTTTAATACGCATTTGTATTTAATACAGACAATATTCATGTTCTACATACCCTCTTAAATGTTCATAATATTTACAATTTTAAGAACGGAACAATTCAGATATCACAGATTCAAATTCAAACTCTTATCACCGACATTGTTGTTTTGATGTCATTATTACACTACTAGATCTTAGATAGATCTTATTGATACAATTTACAAATGGATTTTTTTTATCTACGATAATCTATTCGGGCAGTACTTCTGGCGTCTTACGACCACTTACTGAATGATAATATAGATGTATGATAATTATTAGTTGTCGATGGCATATCGATAAGATATCACTCGATTTACACGACGCTATAAGCTTGTAGAGATATGGTTTGAGTGGAATATGATATGGGCATGACGTAAGGTGACTTCAATGACTATAAATACATCCTGTCGAATCATTTCAAACTTTCTTCAAACGAAATACTTGCTTAAATCATGTTCGCAAATAATTTCCTACCATGAAGGAATAATATCGTGTAATAAAAATCGAAAGGGCATAATTTAATTCGGGTGATTACTATGCAATTGAGAAACATCCCTAATTCATATCGACCGAAGAAAGTAATTTTTTTGTAACTGAAAAAGCCAATTTTACGTTCGCATACGGGTGGCGCATTTACGTCACAGATCTCTATGGGCTCCAGTAACCACTTAACAGTATGTGGACTGTGAGCTCGTCCACCCATCTAAGCAATAAAAAAAAACACCAGAGCTATAAAACTCTTCCAAAAATTTATAACTCATATTATATCTATAAAGATAGAAAGTTGAAATTTGGTATGGTGTGGTATCTGAAGCTTATTTGATTATATTAATTTAAATATATCGATTTATATAAAGTTTGGTATAAAGTTGGAATTTTCAAGATACGACATTTTCGCTTTCGTCCGTCGATATCTCAAGGTCGATACAGACATTCAAGTTGCAATGTCCAGTAACCACTTAATACTAGATGGGCCAGCCTGAAGTCATTCCAGACTACAAAAATATTGATACTCAATAGGTTTATGATTACTTGCAAACTAATTTGTATGTTTAATTCACATTCATTTTTGTGGGAGGTTCTCCCGATAAATGACGTCAGATTAATGTGGATGTGAGTTGTATGCATACTAGGTACCAAAGTAGATATGAATATACATCATTCGTATCAAATAATAAAACGTTCAATACCACTAAAATAAATTACAAATTTTATTACTTTTAGTATTCCCACGGCCCTGTTTGTTTGTGATAGAGTGTGAGTAATGTGACGTCACAGAAAGGTAATGTTAACCATTCGCCATAGTAAAAGTTTTTTTTTTTGCCGTCATAAACAGAAACTGCACAGGAAACAGATTATTTTAGGATTTTGGCACAAGACATCGTTTCTCATTACCGTTTTCTCCGTCATTCACCAAGGAAACTTATATAATTCGATTTGCGTTTTAAAATCTGACACACCCACTTATTCTCTGACACGAAACGATCTCCTGAGAAATATTTGCGAAAAAATCTATTTTAAGGACGCTCTCTTCAGATTTACGTGTTTATTTCAATGTTTTATAGAATACCAAATGCAAATAAAGCCTGTAAAATACTTAACACTCATAAAATTTAATCACACTCTTAGTAATATTTAATTCACTCATTTGTCGTTTGTGATAAAATTTCTACATGGCGTCCTTGGCGAAGAGTTAATTTTATGTCAAGGTGTATTCGACATTTTTAAAAGATTTAAAAAGGAAGATATTGCTTGGAATATTTTTATTTTATTTTTTATTTATTTATTTATTTATGTACACACAGAAAACAAGACACAGTACAGAGTAATAGGAAAATTATGTACAAAGGCATTTTTTTGTAGCGTGTTTGTAAAATACGAAAGGAAATAGTCTAATCATTTTGATTGTAGTA